ACGTTTCGACAAGGTTTTGTCATCATCAGGTACGAAACGTTGTACATTTGCTGTCATGTTAAACTTATATTAAAGTTTTTCTTCATTACCCATTTAAGCCGTCTCCAGCCATTATTAGTCTCAAAGTCGGTTCCTCGTCACCGAATTTAAAGGGTTGAGTTCTTACGAAGCAATGTCAGGATTGTAGCAAACAAAATCCATATTGTGACGTAACCGAGACAATTACCAAATTGTACATTTTTTTTTTTTTTTAGTTTTTGTCGTATCCTTATAAATTAAACGTGTTAAGCAAGGTATCTTAGATAATATCGCTAATTTTTATTTTGGTTATTACAGCAATTTAATATCTCTTATTTCATTTAATGGAGGAACTGTGGTTGTTTTAATTCAAAAATAATATTGCTTATAAAAGCTTTTAGCGATGAACTGGGGCTAAATATGGAATAAAGTGTAGTGGACGTTGGTTTACTTATTTCAGTTTATATATGTAGGTTAATTTATTTTCGCAACAGTCAGTTTTTATATTAGTAGTCCTGATGAAGACGCAATGGCGAAACGTTGACTGAAATAAAAAGCTTTATTATTATGTGAAACGTAATGGTCACTTTCTTTCCTATGTTTTTGTCAAAATGTCTAAATCCATCCAATATGCGCTACAAATTACGAGAAACAACGAAATATGAGTTACAAATATGGAAACACTTCCATCTCGTGCCGTAGGTGCTGTACAAGTTATATAATGTGATCTCCACATTGCTTAACGGTCAAAAATGCTCCGCTACAACCAGGGCTCAACAACAATTATTAAATTTTAACAACACTTGGAATAAAATTTATCACTTTCCAAAAACATAGTTAATAAATATGTGTCTGGCCTGGACTTGATACTAATGTTAATCTATAACAAGAAAAAAAGCTTGTATGTGTGTGTTTGACCGCCATAGCTACAAGAAGAAATAACCTAGAGACCTGAAACTTTGCACGTAAACTAAGGGGATTCTGAGGGTGTGCACCTGGGTATTATTTTTTTAATTTGGCTGAAAAGATTGTTGGCCAATTTTTTGCCCTATAGCCTCATAATTCTTCTTCCTGAAGGTCTGTAGAAAAAATATCATATTTTTTTCTAATTCTCACTTGCTGAATGAGTGGAGCTTTTCTGTCAGATATTATTTTTCAACACAAACATGGGAAGAAAGATATGAAGCGGAGCATATTGGAGAATTCGAAGAATGGAAAGAATTCATATAAAAATACCGGTTAAAAAACGAATTTGAGAAGCTAAATTAAAGCTATTTGCTTTAACAAAAAAAGAGTTTAATTAATTTCGGGAAATGGCAAGAGACAAATCAATTAAAGAATTGGGGTAGCTATAGATGTAATTAAGATAATGGAGACGCTTGACTGGTACACTGAGACCTCTTTGAATCATGAGGGGAACCCTAAAATCTCGCAGCGGAGTGTGGGTATTTTATGCCAGTGAACAATAAAATATTAATTATTTCAAATAATGGAATCAGGAAAAAGGCCAAAAAAAAACCTATTTCCAAAACAACAAGAACAATTTTCCAAAATCACGTTTCTATATTAATTACAATATCGAATGACAAACAGCAATACTTCACTAACTATCTCGTGACTCCCCCGCATAACCTTCTACTAAAGAGTTTCTTAATCAATTCTGTATTATCTAACACCGCTGAGTTCAAATTAACCCCAGTGTTCGAAAGCCTTCCACCATTCTAGTGACCCTATATTCTCGGGTACTTGATAAATATAAACATGCCTTTCCAAACTTTTAAGAAACTCTGTTACATAAAAAACTGACTTACCGTCGAACTTTTTAACGGGCAGGGGTGGTGAGTTGACTGTGGTGACGTAAATCGATGAATTTTTTCCACAGGTCTGTAGGTACAATGAACTCTCGAAGTTTTTGGTTGAGTGGAGGGGAAGGAGACCTAGGTTCTCTTACTAGTAGATCAGTCACCATACGTGTTAGCATTTCAACCTATTCTGTCAATACTGATACAGACTACTTCAAGCTTACCACGTCAGATTCGCTAACTCCCATAGTAACACGGGTATTTTCCAGCACTTATATTTAACTGATCTTAAATTATTGCTGAATTACTGACTCGATACTGACAAAAAAAGCTAAATAACACGCCGCTCCAATTGTTCTGTAGGTATAAGTTATACTTTACACACACATAAAAAGAAATAAAAATTCTACGCATTGTTCCGTAGGTATTGTACAAGCTATATTAAATGTTTTACACATATTGAATATAACTTCTTCACATTATTCCGTAGTTGTAAAGTGCTCTGTGTTTACTTATGTTGTAACTTCTCGAGACAAATGTTAAAACATGAAATTTGTGCTTGGTGAACAATAAATACTATAAACTAATTATAAAAACAGAACTTTTGACGACATTATAAGAAATGTGAGCTTTGTTCATTACCGTGATTACAAACATTTCTAGATGAAGTCTGACCAGTTCTCGAGGCTTGTGGTAAAAACACTGAAGAGAGTACTGTTAAATCCCCGCTTTTTTATGTCATTATTACTGGCTTGCTGTGTTGATGACCACAACATTAGTATTTTCGTAAAGTTTGTTGTTTTAAATTAAACGGAATGTTGTGAAACTTTATGTTTTGTTAGTAGATATGTAGTAGAAATATTTATCATTCCAACATATTGCTACACGAGGGCTATCTGCGCTAGCCGCCCCTAATTTAGCAGTGAAAGACTAGAAGGAAGGCAGCTAGTCATCACCACCCACCGCCAACTATTGGGCTACTCTTTTACCAACGAATAGTGGGATTGACTGACCGTCACATAATAACGCCCCACGGCTGAAAGGGCGAGTATGCTTGGTGGGACGGGGATTCGAACCCATTGCTCTCAGATTGCGAGACGAGCGCCCTAACTACCTGGCCATGTCGGGCTAGATATTAAGAAATTGTTTGTGTGATTTTACTTTTAAAATATGAGTAAAAATATCTCATAGTATATTTAAAGCACCGGTAACAATGTTAACATTTAGTGATCGACTACGCTGGGTCTGTACGATCGTTGTTGAATTACGATTCAGTAGCCCGCAATAAATTATCAGTTTACTGTAATAAATATTCAATATGTGAACATTTCATGACAATGTTTATTAATCAAGAGATGATTTAAGGCGTAATTACCGGCTCTGTTCTGGAAATGTTTCTTAAAAAGACTGTTCCGAATATTTCGGCTGTTTGTCTCTGTAGCGCCATCTGAAAGCCAGGACCGAATGTTTTATACAAGGTAGTGTTGCGAGTGATACATCATACAAGTCTACCCCTTCTGAAGTTATAAAATTTTCGACTTCTTTTATTTAGGAACATTTTCAAAAGTTGTATATACGTTAAGAATATATATATAGTCATTCAGAAGTTATAAGACCAACGACTACAGTTTTTTTATGTGTGTCGCCTTCTGGTAAGTAAAACGCAAGTGATATTCACAGTGACACTGTTTTCTAGATAAAGTCTACCCCCCCCCCTCAGTAGCTAAGCAGTAAATCTTATAACGCTAAAAGCCCGGTTTCGATACCCGTTATGGTCACATCACTGATATCCCGTTGTGTAGCTTCGTGCTTAACAACCTTCATACAAGCAATATTTACGTCTGTGACCTAAACTGGTAACAGATGTCTAGCTGAAAATTCTTTATAAAGTTCAATTATTATTGTTATTTCAAAATTAAATGTAATTAAACGGGCTTCAATTTAGCAGGAGTAAAAGCACACACATAAGTTATAAAGATAGGTTTGAGATTTGTAAAGAGATCACTAAGAATACAAGTTTTATCATTTTTTTGCCTCGGTATTATTGTGTTTCCTAAAAATAAAGCTCTCTCCCACCAGTGGCTCAGCAGTAAGTCTGAAGGCTTATAAGCTAAAAACTGGGTTTCGATACCCATGATAGGCGCAGTAAAGATATCCCATTGTGTAGTTTTGTGTGTATAACAAAAACAACTTAAAATAATCAATCACTTGTTGTTCCATCAAGACAAGATGTTAATATCTCTATCTTCATATGATGGATTATTATTGTCATCTTTTTAATCAAGAAATGTACTCTTGATATATTATAGATATATGTTATTTGTATGTGAGGAAAAAATAAGCTTAGTACTGAACTATAAATATAAAAGACTGTGAAATCAAAGCACGTTTACAATCCTTTGTAACGAGTCTTGTATATACTTGTTTTTCTAGTGATATTTAATGTATCGGCCTTTGATACAGCCAAAGATGTTTTTGAGGATTGTGACAACGAAGATGTGAGTCAAGCGAGTAACCAGTTTGTAGCTTGTGTGAATTCGAATGTGTTTCCTTTGAAACAAATTTCGCTAAAAAGTTTGAAAAGTATCAAAAATGGAGATGGATACGAAAATCTGTGTGGGTGAGTAAGATCAAGTTAGTGTTAGCGATACCGAAAGAATTGTCGACATTAGGAAAAATATTTTTAACTTTTGGGAAGCCAGATTATAATATACAATTACATAATTATAGTATTTTGGCACTTGTGTATAAAGTTAAAATCATAAATAATATTCAACGTTAAACTG